CGAAATTATTTTGACCATTGGATGCTAAAGTCGCGAAATAGTCGAAATGACATTATATCACATGATTTTTCATATTTAGAAAAAACAAAAAACAAAAAATGTACGAACTTGGTCAATATCGCTCCGATTCATATGAAACAACTGCCATTCGATTTCTCGAAACTAGGCGGATCTAATGAGCTAACATTCATTGATTTCGGATCATCCAATCACAAGATACTCGCAATTGTATTATCGGCTGAAATTATAAATCATCAAATTCTACTTTAAATAAAGGAGTCTGGATTTTGAAACACAATCACAAATATCTCGAGATAGAATGATCAAAATTCAATGAATGTTATCTCATTAGATTGTCTAGTCGCAAGGAATCAAATAGTAGTTGTTTCATACGAATTGGAGCGATATTGATCAAGATCATACATCTTTTATTTTTTTTGTTTTTTCTATATATAAAAAATCATGTGATATGATGTAATTTCGACTATTTTGACTTTTCATTTCGATTTTGATCTCCAAAGTCGAAACATTTCGACTTTTGGGTTTTCATTTCGACTTCATGTATATGTGCCACATTTTTCTATTCTTGAAGATCATTTGGATTATAATACCTATCATTTTTCAGTAAAATTAATTAGTTTACAAGTAAATGAGTTTTATTAGTTTATTTTCTATTTTTTTTTTTAGAATTTTTATTTTTATTAATTCTTTAATTTTATATTTATTAATTTTGAAAAAATGTATCATTATTTCTTTTATATTAGTAATGTAAAAGTTTGGAATTTCCTTCAGCATTTTTTCATATATAATTATATAAGGATAAGAATAATTATATTTGAATGTTCTATATTATTTTTCTAATAATAATTAATATTGTTAATCTTATTTTTAATTATTTTAATTAAGAAATTATATATATAAATAAATTATCTCTAATTGTTATAATGATAAAATTTAAAAAATTATAATTGGTTTTAATGAATTTTTAAAGTTAATTTTTATTTATAAATTTTTTTTAATAAATTTATCTTTTTAATTATATTATAAATAATTTTTTTATTAATTTAAAAGAAAAAAATTCTTTAAAATTAGAAATTAATTTAAGATTTGATCCTAGAATTTATAAACTAAGCTATATTTTTATTTATTTATAGTTATTAACTTCTCTATCATATTTTATTTCTTCTTTATTATACTCTTAAATATTAAAATTTAAAAAAAAAATTTAAATTTTAATAAGTAACTTTAATTTTAAACTAATAATTTTTTAAAATTAATTAGGACCTAATTTTTAAATAGAATCACACAGACAATTTTTTTGCAGATTGTTTTATTTTAAAGAATTAAAATAGTTTTTGTAATTATAAAAACAAAAATATAATTTTAGCAAATTGGATCAAATTTGAGTAAAATCACATTATACCTATATTAAATATATTTGAGATTTTTATAATACCTAGAATATTATTTAATAACTTAATTTTTTAAGTTTAATGTTTCAATTGAATTAATATTAAAATTTAATAATTTAATATATTAGCATTTATAACTAATCAAAATGTATTATAAAATTTTAGAATATTAAAAGTTACTTGATATTTCTATGATAATCCTCTCCTATTTTTATAATCATTAATTATCTTTTTTATTTTTGTCTATTTTTATTTATTATTATTCCTTCATACATGTATATTGCTATGTAATTTTTCAAGCTCAGCCATTTTTGATAAAAATACTTTTCGATATTCTATAACATTTTCTCTCTCATGTCCATTATATATTTCGATAAATTACTTTTATTTCTTACCTACTATAATAAAAACTTTATTAAAAATTTTCAAAATTATTTAGCATACAATAATATAAGCCTTAAATCATATTTTCTTTAACTTCTTTTTTTTAAAATAAAATAATAAACTAATACACCAATTAATTTTTCATTTTTTATATTATAATTATTCTACATTTCTTAAAAATCGCCGACCTTTTTTATAAAATTAGTAATAATAACATTAATCTTAACATTATTTATATTATATCATAAACTGATCTGATATATCATTGATTGGATGAATCACCATGTTACCACCTCGTATGGCTACCGGGAAAAAATATACTTATAATATCGGGATTAACATTGGTTTATAGCTAAGATAATGACTATAAGGAGGAGGGTATTTCATTATTAAAAAAATCGGGACAAATTTCAGTGATTTAAGGAAAATATATGGAGATGGATTATAGAGAAGGTCGACTGTAGATTGGCAATCCAAAATAGTCCTCATAAAATTATATTGGGTAATATATGTGATTGCCCTTTTTAATTCGAATGATTAACTCTTCCAATAAAGCTTCATCAGTAAATTCCAAGGGTTCATAAATTCATGTCGGCTAATTTTAGCATTACATTCTTCTTTATTCATCGGGCAAGAACAAGGATTACAATTAGGGCAACTATCAACGGAGTTAAATCCTTCGAATTTTAAATTCTTTCCTTTTTGTAAAATTATTATGATTAGGATTTGATGTGAAAATGTATAATTGTGTATACTTATAATTATTATTATACAGGATATCATTTTTATTATTGAAACTTTTACTTTGTTATAACAATTTCATATTTATTGAAAAAACTTTGCAACTGTTGAACGGGTTTCATGTTGAAACATCAGAATGTTACATTTATTCTCATCAAAACTCATTAATCAAATCTCATCATTCTCATCCATTTCATCATGAGCTCTTTTCAATTTAATCTGATCTTCCCTTTTCTTCTTTTCAAATTCCATAATTTCCTGAGAAATTTCATTAAGTCTCCTTGTTTCATTAGCGATTAATTTATCAATTTCCATGAGTTCTTGAGAATTCCTTGCTGGATTAACGTCGCTACCAATTTCTTTAATTCCCAGAGTTTCGTCGATTTTTTTCGCGTTTATGTTTTCAATTTTCGTGATCTCTTGAGATAACTTTGGGAGGTCGTAAATTTTATTTTCTTCTTCAGTAATTGAATTCACACCCTCTTCCTTTCCTCCTTTGACACCATTTAAAATTGGTAACGAAAATCCTCTATTAGTCAGCCAATCCTCAGGACGATAATGAAGATGTAACTCAGCTATAGGATTTAAATTAACAATTTTTATTACAGTTTTAGGTTGAAAATTTGCGTTCATGATATCAAATTCGGTTGTATAATCGACATCCTCATTCTCTGCTAATCCTGATTGATGTTGTAATGAATTTTCATCAACGATAATCCCCTTGAAAAAACATATCGTAATAGAACCATGCTTTCCATATTGATATTTATTTTGTACTTTTGGTCGTTTAGGGATTGAGCTGTCCGATTTTAAAAAATTGATTGGTAACGATCTCGTCCTTGAACTTGATCGTTGATGAAGTAGTTGAGTTGGATCCAATCGTCCATCTATATATAATCGAGAGATTATGACGTTGGTCGGATTCGCTTGTTTAGCTTCAATTTTAATCTTGTAGCCTTCTCCTGCGGTTATAACTGGAAAATATGTTGTAAAATCGCTTTCAAAGAGAAATGATGAAAAGATGGGGAAAATCATTTAATTTTTTTTTTTAGAAAAAAAATTACGATAAATAAAAGCACCTTACCTGTATTTTTTTGTTTGTGTTAAAGGATCAATGACGTAAGAAACGTATTTCTTATTTAACTATTGATAATAATATAATATAAAGGAATTACTTTAATTAGTTATTCTCGTTAAAAATTAATATGGAACTATGAAAAAATGAAAGTCTGGCGTGTCCGAATAACGCGAGCATGTAAAATGGTCAAGAAAACGCGTCAAAAATGTGATGTTACATAATGCCTAGACAATTTCCCAAATTCTGTAAAGATTTCAAACCATTTCCGACCCTTTTTATCATAGGGTGAACAGTATATATATATATAAATATAAAAGCCAACCTACATCGGATACATCAATCGGAAGATTATATTCTGGTAAAGGTTGATCATTTAATAAAACCTCAAGGTTAAACTCTTGTAAATGCATTTTGTTTTCTGCGCAAAAAGGATAATATTTTTTGAAAAAAAAAAAAAAAAAAAAAAATGAGAGCTGTCAACATACAAATTCCATTTTATAACTTTTTTGATCATCAGGTCAAAAATATACTTTCAAATGTCGATCATTGACAGAAAATAAAAAAACCTTGACACGACATAAATTTAAAGAAATGGTGTTTTGACTTTTATGTACACCAAAAAATTTACCGATCTACATGATACAGAATTAAAGTTATATATCGGAACAAGAGAATGATGCACTTCGGCGATCGGCCTACTTCTATCTAAAAAAAAAATAAAGAATTTTCCGTATAACCATTTTCCATTAAATAAGTTTGTTATGTATTATCTGGATTGTGGTAGAATCAACTTTATTTTAAGTTTATTCCATTTCTTTATTTGTCACGATGAGGATAATGATTGCTTTTATAGTTGTAATTTTTGTTGAAAAGTTTTAGAAACAGTATCTGTATGTATATATTGTTTAACAACAGAAACTATAGAAATTTATAACCTTAGTAATGTATATCATGGCAGTAATAACCAAAAAAGATTAATGATTTATTAATACTTTTAAATAAATTTATTGGATTCATTTTTACGTCAAATAATGGTAAAAAAAAAATTCTTTTTTGCTGTCGAAGTGATAATCTCTGAAACTGCAATTCAATACATATTGGTTTAAATAATGCAACTGTTGTATCTATTCAATCAAATTCTAGAGTTTAACATTAATGAATATATCACATTTGAACTTTTTGGTCTTTTGGATCTTTTGGACAGTAATAATTAGGACAAAGGGAATTGCGGATATTTAAACGCATATCCGTTAACAATTAATAAATAAAGTAAAAAACTTCAAATTTATTATGCAATGTCAATGATAATTTTAATGAGCTACATTTTTTTTTTAAATACGGAAATTTCTAATTATTGATCACCATATGACACTGACGGCGAGGCATAGTATTTTTTTTCTTTTAAACTTCATCGGTCTCGTCATCAAAAAGAAAAAAGTCAGAAATAAAAATTTATTTAATTCATGAAAAATAAAATTACTTAGCTAGCAATATTAATAAGTTTCTTGATAACATCGAAATGATTCTCGACTGTTAATAAATTTTAGTATTCATTAGAATAGAAATATACATTTTAAAATTTGAAATAACAATAAAGATGAGCTCAGTGGACTGTCGACGCCATGTCGTGCTGAATATATCTAATCGTGCTAACAAGCGTGCAGAGGATATTTCAGTTACGTGCAGAGGACGTGATAAAGGCACTATAGAGAAAGCCCTCACATGCTGCTGCGATGAGACAGAGGAAATAATTATTTTTTTATTTCTTAACCAAAGCAATAGAAGAGGTGGATAAGCAAAGTGTACTAGACACATCTATCTCTAAAAGGCCCAGCCACATGGTTTATTCTTCGCAAAACTTTATTTCCATAAAATAGGAAAAAAACAAAAAAATACTTAGCTCCTTGTATTATTGTGTTAATGATATATAGAAAATCCAAATTATACAGAGTATTAATTATATCAACAGTTAATAAATAACATATTGTGATAGACGCTTACTTAAAAGAATGAGTAGGTATGTAATGAACGAGCAAGATGAAGGGGCTGCGGTGAGATGTTTCAATTTAGATACTGTAACTCGATGATCAACAAAACAATTCAAAATTAGTCAATGACGAAATGAATGATATTCGATTGAATGTTTTTGTAGTTTTCTTAAATTTTAAAAAAATATAATTTTATATATTTTTTTTAATTCTAATTTTTATAAGTTCAAAGCGAAGCGAAGGATTGATTATATTAGCCTTATATATTTCTTTTCCAATTTATATTTTTACATCAATGAAATTTAAATTAAAATATTCAATTTTGTTTAGTTTGTGATACAAAATTCAGATTGACTAAATCATTAATATTATACTAATAGCAGCATTTTTTGCCTTAGTATAATTCAAAATTCTGAATTATTGATAATATCACTAATATCATTAGAAAGTTTTCTATTGCTATTTCGATCAATTGATTTTTTATTTGCTAGTACATTTAGAATTCCATTATTTTTTATAATATTATCAGACTATCATTAAATTTTGTTGAAAGAACTATTAAATAAAAATTAATTTAGTATTTATATAAATATATTTAATAAAAAAAAATATCTTTAATGCAGATTATGTTTTTTAAAATAGAATAAAAACAATAAATAATATGAGTTCTATCTAGTATTTTTAGGTAGTATTGTATACAAATATTATCTACATATTAAGCAATATAGATATCCAGACATTATCCAGGATTTGCATCCTGTAATTTATCCTGTAATAGTATAACAAACATATCTCTAGGTATTTTAGGATGATCTAAAACAATTTGATATATTCTAGACAATCCAATAATTTTTTTTTTACAATCAGATAACCTTTTTTTTAAGTTTTATTTTCACTTCATACTTTAATTTATCGGATTTTCAAATTATATCTCTCTTATACTTATATTTTACATCTTTTTTATATACTTATCTTTAAATATTACAGAAGTTTAATAGAGGTCTAAAATAAAACAAATCACTCTACAACTCCATTATGGCCCATCACCTTTACTGCCTTTATCATCTTTACCAACTTTACTACTTCTGCTACCTTTATCACTCATGAATTTATCTTTAACAATATTAATAATAAAGATATTCTGTTGCTTGCAATTAGCAAATTGCATTTTAAACTGAAAATAGAGGTTCAATTTTCTTTAATACTAGGAATAATATCAATTTTGCAAGGATTAGTAATTGGTATATAAGCAAGTTTCTTTAGGTATTTTAATGGTTAATTCATCTTTTATAGTAATTAAAATAGTAAGAATTGATAATTTTTTATCATTTTAAGATTTATAAGATGTTGCTTCTTTCTTTATTGAATCAATATATTATTAGAACTGAAATTAAAATTAATTAATATAATTTTAAAACATATTATAAACTATGTATTAATAAATTAGAAGAGAAAGAAGCAAAAATTTATCAACTTTAATAATTTTAAATAAAAGATTATGTAAATATTAGCATAAATATTATTTATATTATATTTTTAGAAAGTATTTAATAAAAACTACTTTTCTTAATTACAGGTTCTTCAAAATATTCTACATAATTTCAATTTTCTGTATTTACTTATAAAGTTATCTGATCAACTTATAGTTCTATAGATAATTTTATTGACTGATCTTTATCTAAAGAAGATTTGGAAAGACTTTATATATTATTACTTCATTTAAAAAAAAACCATAGATAATGCTAATTAAGTCATAAAAAACTGCTCTTATAAAAGATCATATAAGTATAACTAAGGTTGCTTGTTTAAACTAATTTTGTATTTAGCTAAACATTTAAACCTTTAATTTTACTAAATTTTTACTAAGCGTTTGATATAGTTTCACCATTTTTATAAGCTTTGATATAGTTTTACTTTTTCTAAATTTCGCAAATTTTTTAATAAGGTTTTAATATAATTTAACCAAGTTTTACCTTTACTATTAGATGTCTGTCTAAACTCTGAATTTTGTCTAGCAACCTTAGATATAACTTTAATTTTTGATTAGTAGATAAATATTAAAAATAAGCAACTATTAAGAGTTATCTTAATAACTATAAAAGAAAAATCTTATATTTGAAAGGTAGTTGATATTAGTTCAAAATGTGAAAATAATGTTAAGGTGATAAAAAAAAACAGAATTTATGCTTAGTGAATTAAAAACTAAAGAAATTACTATTTGTACTATTGTTACTAATAGTGCAAATACATATGCAGCAGCTCAATATATTTTTAATAATACTTTTTTTTAGTTTTGCTGTTTAAATATTTAAATATTAATATTGAAATTTTAATTTAGATATTAGGTATTAAGTTTGAACTATATATTTTAGAAACATATCATAAGCAAGAAGAAAACCTAACAATTTTAAGAATAATATATAAAATAATTGATTCTAGTATTTTTGGGAAAATATTATATTGATTGCTGAAATCCTTAACTCTTACAATAAATTACTTAATGTTTTACAATGTGATAAGATACAATTATTTCAGATAGTTTATAGTTTAGATTATTTGGCTCAATTTTAGTTAAATAACTCTAATATTATACTTATCACAAAGTTAATTATGTGACTTGAACAATGTTGAAAGGGGTAGAAACAGCCACTTCTTTTATTATCCATATTTATTACACTCAGAATATAAAATAGAAGTTTTAATAATTTTAATATAATCTATTTAACTTTTGGAAAGTGGTTTATTATGCATGTTTTAAAAAGAACCAAAATGTATTCTTCAAGAATTTGATAATTTTTGTTTAGCTAAATATTTATTTGATGTTAATATATATAATCAATTTAATAGTAATATTTAACATTATCCGGTATCCTGTGATTATTAATTATAAATAATTACAAGAAACTAGATAAATCACTTATCCAGCACTTCGAGCTGAATAACTACCGCTATCTATAAGGTAGCTAATAATATTGGGAATCAAATTTGATTTGTGATTCAGGACTCCTGCAGAATCCTAAATCAACCAATCAAATTTGATTTTTCTAATATAATAGTTATTCGGCACGAAGTGCCGAATAACTATTAATTATTAGTACTTCATTAGTATATCTACAAATGAATTAGGATTAGTTGTCTGTAGAATTTTTGGTATATGTGTAAACATGGCATCTGTTAAAATATTTTGAAGCTATATGGGATTTTTACAAACAAATTAGCAAAATTATTTAATAGTATATTAGTTTATATTTATAAGTTAATTACTTTATTAAATAATATTTTAAATATTTTTTTTATTATATGGTCATTTAAAACTCTTGAAATAAGTAAATTCAAAGCTAATATTACATATTCTCATTATATTTCTGCATCTAAAATTATATTAGATATTAATAAATCATTTAATAATCATAATTTAAATTTGATAAAAGAAGATCGTGAAGATGTAATAGAAGTTTAACAAAAGAATTAGATAATGAAAATAACGAATTAGATCTAAAAAATGAATTATGTGAATATTATTATATTAATAATATATATATTATTACAAAGAAGAAGAAATAAGCAATGCAAAATATTTAATATAAATAGTTTTGTTATTATAGTTGGCATTTATTAATGTTTAATGTTTTATTTTATTATTCTTTTATTATTAATTTATTAGTATTATTATTATTATTTTGCATTTACTAGTGTTTATTTTTTTTATTATTATTATTATTTTATTACATGTATAAGAAATTTGACTAGCAATCATTAAGTTAGTATTGTTAACCTTATATTCAACCATTAAACTTAGGATAAAATTGACTTGATAATAGAAAGTAATATGTATATTTGATTATAATTATTGTTAGATAAGTCTTATCACAATCAACCTTTAAGTTTATTATTTGGTAATTGTTTTATATGGGTTTAATATTATAATTTTATAACAAAATGATAAATACTTTTAGTAGAGCTCCGAATCAGGTCAGGTCAACCTGTGACCCAACCTAACCTGACCTGAAAAATCCAAGTCAGGTAGATAACTTTTCAGATCAACATCAGGTCAGATCAAGCTTATGACCTGATAAAATTCAGGTCAACCAATCAAATTAAACGAAATACAATATTTAAAAAAATTTCTTTTTTGTCTATTTTTTTTTAAAACATCTTTAATTTTATTTAATATAGTTAAATTTTAAATTATAAACATCTTTGCAATTACATTGTACAACAATTTAATTTTATTTTTTTTATCCGTTCAATTACTTCAAAGAGATTTTTGAGCAATTTGGTCAAAGAAAATTGACTTTTATCATGTAAGTAAAGTTATACAACAGGTTCGAAAATATGTGCATATAAATTTTATTATAATTGGATCAATAGTTATAAAGTTATGAATGTTTTTTGTGATTGTATTATCTTACAAAATATTTTTATTATTTTTATTCGTTTAGTAATTCAAACAGCAATTTAAGTATTTTTGTTAAAGGTAAAGATGGTACAGCAATTGATTTCAAATTTACAAAATGTTGCAACATAAGCTAAAATTAGTTGCAACATATGTTGCAACATTATAAGTTGCAACATATATAGATTAAAACTAATTGCAACATATTAATTACAATTCCTATCTTTAATATAGATGCTTTACAGTAGAAAATATAGAGATTTAGTCAGATTTGAATAAATTTTGGTATAAACAAAATTTTTCAATTATAAATGAAAATTGATTTGCATAATAAAAAATTAAAATTTGCTAATTAAAAATATTATGCTAAAAAAATCAATATTTAAAAATAATACAAGTTAATCTCATTGATTAATTAGAGGATTGGTATCTAAAAATAAGTAACTTCATTTTTTTTGTAATAAAAAGAGTGATAACTTTAATTCTTATTTTAAAAAAATTTAAAATTTAAAAAAAAAATATATTTTTTTGAATATTTCTTATCTATTAAAATATAATTTTATATATTTTTCCTTTATAATAAAAAAATAATATAAGAATTATTCTGATAGAACAATCATATATCATTCTAAAAGAATGATTCTTTTATCATTCTAATAGAATAATAAAAGATCATTCTAAAGGAAATCTTTCTAATAGAATAATAAAATATTATTTTATACTGGTTAAATGATATAATTCAACTAACAATCAGATATCTAAATCATATCTGAATTTAGACCAATTTGTGTTTAAATTTTAGCTGAATTGTAATAAATTTGGTTTGATTTCTATTGGCATAATTCAGCATCAATAGAAACAATTTAGACATAATAATTCAACTTACAAATTAAGTCTAAAATTAATCTAAATTCAATTACATTTCAGATATAATTTCAACCTAATTCAACCACTTAAAATCAACTATAATACCACAATTCAACCATAAATTGAATACAAATTAGACATAATTTGCTAAAATTAATCTAATTCAACCATTTAAAATCAATTACAAATTGCAAATCAAAACTAATATAACAAATTTAAATTTAAATTTTTATTATTTTATATAAGGTAAGACAAAATAAATTTTTCAGTTTTCATATCAAAATTTGGTTTCACATGACCTGGTCACCCAGCTTTTTACTATTAATAACAAAAAATTTTTTTAATCAAAAAATTTTATTGGATATTTTTAATATTTCACAACCCGATTACCCAGCTAAAAATTTCATATGTTAAAAATTTTATACTACGCATTTATATAATAAACTTTTTTTAAATTATCAATCAAAGAAGAAAAAAATAATCTAAATTGATTATTTTTTAAAAAGCATGA